AAGAAGAAGAGAGAGAGGAAGAAGAAGAGAGAGAGAGAGAACGGTGGTAGGTGGATGCCAACACATTCATTCGATATGTCACACGCTGTTTTTCTTTGCTTCATTTTTATTTTTTTCTTCTTATCAACCCAGTTATGACGTCCCTGCTGCATTCTCCTGTTCTTCGGCTGTCTGATGCTTCTTATACTCCGGTTTCAGCTCGTACGTTCCTTGGTGTTGGCCCCTCTTGTTGTAGATGCAGAGGTCATTCAACACTTCCTTCAAAAAGGCCACCGGCTGCTGGGTCTTCTGTACCAGCTGCTTCAAGGGCCAATAACTTTGCTCGTCGAACAGCTTGAACACCACGTCTTCCAGGTCATTCCGGTCTTGCCTGATTCGTTTTCCTTCCGTCGTGCTCGCCTTCACTCTTGTTACCCTCTTCGTGACGTCCGGCACGGGCACTGGCAGTATGTTCCGCTTCTCCGTCCATTGAATCTGGCGCAGTTTCGTCATCGATCGGCCTTGTCTCTCCCTGCAGAGCTTCCAGTACTCCTCCCCCCCGACTGGCTTCATGTCAAACTTCTGATCCACCCTCCCGTCTACCGACACCATGCCTTGCGGCGTCTCGGAGAACACATGCATGTGTAGTGCATCTCTGGTGAAATTCAGACTGTACTCCTTGGGCACACCCGCCGCTTCCGACCCTGCCAAATTGATCATGAACTCCGGCGGCTCCTTCGGCGCTAGCGGATCGAACGAGAACCGGACACGACCAAGTTCGTTGTCGCCAGAAGGCACTTTCCGCCACATATCAGCGACAAAGCCCGGAACTTTCATCAACCACACACCTCTCTCTGCGCCCCTCAGATCCACCACGTCTTCCTTCGCCATCATCTTGTCAATTCAGTATATATCGTCACAAACAGAACTGCCCGGTAAAACCGTAGGCAGAGAGAGAGAAGAGGACAACAAACGAGGGGCTGTGCCAAACTGATTCGTCGGAGTTTCACCGTCTCATCAGGAGGCTGAATATATATATAATATATATATATATATATATATATATCGTCACAAATTTATACTTATATATACTAATTTACAAAATCTGCAACCTCCTCTTTCCTGGCTGATGATGTTGGAGTTGGTTGAAGTGAGTGCCTTCTCCTGCTGCTCTTTTACTTCAGCGAATCTTATCGGAATAATCCACGTTCTCTACCTTCTTCGCCTCTCACTGCGTCTTGCACATATGCTGCCAGGGTGGAGAACAGAGGTGGTCGGGGTAACTAGAAGGAACAAAAGACGCAGCTAAATTCCCCCATGCCCCCCCCCCCCAAAAAAAAAAAAAAAAAACACGGATCTAAAACCCATACACCCCCCCCACTCCACCCCCCAAAAAAAAGACTAACAAAAAGGCGAGGCTAACTCGCATACTTCCCACAAAAAAGAAAACACAGCTTAATTGCATACACACACAAAAAAAAAAGAGATGCATCTGAAGTTCTAAACCCCATAAACCCCAACAGGAAAAAGACGCAGACAAATTCCATACATTGAAAAAAAAAAATTGCAGCTCAATACCATGCCCAGAAGAAGAGAAAAAGACACAGATAGATCACGTACCCCCCCCCCCCCCCCCCCCCCCACCCACACCCCAAAAAAAAAAAAAAAAAAAAAAAAAAGACGCAGCTAGATCCCATACAGACAAATTAAAAAGAAAAACGACGCAGCTAAATCTAATAGGCCCGAGAGAAAGAAAAACAGATGCCGCTAAATCCCATACAGCTGACTCAGACAAGTAAAGAAAAAACAAATGAATTGCAAGCTCAGCTTAGGGCATACTCGAACTACTTTGTCTTCCCCCGAACACGCAGCCTGATAATGAATGCATACATAATGAACGCATACAAGCTATCTTTCAAGTCCAGTACAGTCATACTGAGGGTGCATTGTGTTTGGGTGAAGATAGTAACACTTCTAATCCCCTCTGTGGACACTACCGTCATCACCCGAGCAGAGAATGCCCAGTCATTGGAGCCGTATTTGGGCCAAGCGTCTGTCTAGATACTGCGATAACCACTGATTCACTGGGCGTTCTATTCGAGTTGACATGGTAGAAATAATTACAGCTGTGTAGTGTAGTCTCTCATTCATGGACGTATCCAAGAGCCCTCACAGCACAACTCGCGAAACGCCAACATTCAAATGTAGCGGGACTTGCTACCTGTTATACAATACATGAAAGATGTTGGCGTTTGGCGAAGCCCGGCGTGTCCGTCACCTCTGTGGACACGATCACAGTCCATTCCGTTCCTGTGCTCAGAAGCGTTTTCCTTTCCCCCCCCCACCTTCTTTCCTAGTGCGAGGCCCTAAGCCTCGGCAAGCCCTACCGGGGCCCTGTTTCCAGCATGCATGGCCGCCCTAAGTGAAGGCGGGCCTGCCAAGTGACGAGAGGCCTATTTTGTGTTGGTCGCAACTGGGGGAAATATCAGGCAGTTGCGCAGCGTCCGTTGGTTGAGTGAGCCCAGGCCCTGCCTGCCTTTTTCCAAATGTATACGAGGCAGGCCCTGGGCCAGACACGGGGAATGAAACGAACACAGGCCGCTTGGCAATTGGACACAGGTAACCACCCCAGGCGCTGTGGAAGATTCCCTGGGACAGGGGCACAGTCACTTGGGGCCTACCGGAAGCTTCCGCGGAGAGGGCCAGGCCAGTCAGGCAGCCCACGACTGGCAGCCACTTTCCTTAAAGGAAAGGGCCTGGCCGCTGGCCAGATATTCGGGCACTCGCTGCTTATGCGCAAGCGCTGCTGCACCAGCTGCTGAAGCGAGCACCTACGCGCCCACGGCCGAGCACGGAAGAAGCAGGCAGCCATGGCCGAGCTGGCCTTCGCGTTGCTGGATGGGGCGCATGGTGGTCTTCGGGTGCATGTGGCATCAGTGTGGAGGATCGAGGTTGCGAGTGAAGCCAGGGACATACCTGGCGCTTGATGCGAACGGCATTGGCCAAGATCTGCTCGTACTTCGGGAAGCTGTTGACGTCACCAGCGGCATTGTAGATAGGCTAGATGATAGGATCTGCCATCTGTAGTCTGGGCGCTGAGCGCCAGATAGGGAATCGACATTGGTTCATTGACGATGATGACGATACCATTCCAAAATTGTCATTTGTGAGCTTTGCTGTGCTCTTACTTGGTGTAACTCGAGTTGCGATTCTGCTTTTGATTCAACGTCAAGACTATGGGCCTCACTGCACTACTCTCGAAATGCACAAAAGACAAAAATCATGGCCGTGTATCTTTCCATATTCTAGCGGAATATTCACTCTCGTTTTGCACATTTCCAGAGTAGTGCAGCGAGGGCCTATCTGGTTTCATGCGTATGATGTGGCTTGGTTTCTGAATTTCGCCATCGCTCATTTTCCTTGCACTAGGCTGTTTGTCCAGGCACCCAGGCAACCCACTTGTGCCTGGACACATGCCGAGTTGCTGGGCCGGGCATGAACCACCGGCAGTGTTCCGAGCAGCCCCAGCGCCCACCCATTAATTCTCATTTATACAAACAAACAAAGAACCATGGCAATACCGTGGGAAGTTGGTGGATTGTATGTAGAAAGAAAACAATTCAATGAGCGCGAGCGCGTTCATAGACCACGTAACGATTGACTCGAAAGTGGAGAGCATGATTGATTTCATGCTAATATGCCAGTACTCTCCCAATTTAATAATTTCAATTGAGGATCTAGTTAGTTCCTAAGGTGAGCGGCTCAACTGACTTCTAGTCATATCGACCAACTCCTAGTCATATTGGATCTAGCATATGAAGATGGAAAGCGTAGACAATTGATGCCGCCTTCGGCCTAGGAGGTGAGATAAAGGTCTAGTCTAATCTCTAGTGAAAACTAGACATGATTGGAAAGGCCATTCAAAAAGAAGAAACAACAAAAAAAAATCCAACAAAAAAGAATTGTAGTGTAGAGTTGAAAAATACAAACGACTTTCGATCGAGGGTTACTTCAGAATTCCTCACCGAATCGAACATAAAAGAAGAACACAACAAAATCAGAGTAAGGCACCCCCCTTAAAACCCCTTCAGCCCATCAAAACCCACTTTATACCCCCCCCCTGCCAGCCAACACCCGAAAAAACAAAGGAGCCCGGATCTGGGCTCCTCTAGCCATGCGAAGGAAACCTCCACCAGAAGGACAAAAAAAAAGGAAAAATCAAACAAAGGGTTGATTTTTGACTGCATGGGAGGCAGGTGAACCCCAGGCAGCTTGCCCAAGGTGTGCACGGCCGGACAAGTAATGTAGCCCAGCTTTTTTCTAAATTCTTTTATTTTCTTTGTTTTCTTTTCTTTGGGATAGGAATTGGGCATGCACAAAAGTATAGCTCCGTAATGTGGTCTTTTTTTTTCCTCCTCCTTCCCCCCCCCCCTTCCCCCCCTTCTCATAATGTGGTGTCATTCATTGACACATGTCAATCCATTTCATTCCTGGGCTCAGCAGAGCTTTTTTTTTTTTTTTACTCTGCAAGCTTTTCACTTCCACAATGTACTGCACAATGCCGCCTGTTTAAAATAAATAAATAAATTGCCGCCTGACCAACCAGCCTGAACTGCTGAAATGCAGAGCCGTGTTCAACTCCAGATGGACCACATGAATAGAACAGAAAAACAATAGTGAATCACCTGGGGCGGGTCAGTTCAATGATGATATCTCAAGATTGTCGCCCTTTTTCAAAAAAAAAAGAAACAAAGAAACAAAAAAAGCGGACTTCTCTTTGCAGTCCTTCGCCAATCGAGCACATCTGAGCCCCGCCACGTAGCGCCGCCCTACTCGCAGAAGCTGGCAGGTGAATGCGGCACAAAAAGTTGAACATGTACACAGCCCATGTGGGTGTTTTCTTTTTCCTTCCCTTTTCTAAGTTTTTTCCCCTTTTACGGAGCCGGAACCGTAAGGTTCTGCCTTTCCGTAGGAAAAAAAAAAAAAAAAAAAAAGTTTCCCCCTTTTCTTCCGCCTAAGACATACATCTAACTGTCAATCGACAGATAACGAGTTGAAATCCTGCTTCCGAAATAAAAATGCTGACAGAATTGACGTGTTCCACTTTGAACAAAAAAATGGAAGGCAGCGAAGGGGAAAAAAAGACACAGGAAAGTGCCAAGTGGCTTACCGACCGGTCATATCGCACCAGCTGGCGGAACGACAGTTGTCATTTCCCAGCGACAGGTGCCGCGTGGAGAAAAAGCGACAGATGAGTACTGTCTATACATAGCTCTCTAAGTAATTTACAGCCAAAATTTCTTCGGCAAACAATCGATCGACAAAAATAAAAATCAATCGACAACGCTGCCACGTATTTGTCGGAGGCTTCGGAGCGCACTTCAAGATCCGCTAACCAAAAAAAAAAAATATACAAGCAGGTGCAGCCAGCGCAGCTCCACCCGCAAAAAAAGTCAGGAAGCACCCCAATGAAGAATCTCACTTCGCTCTTTCTGTCTCTGACTCTATTTTTTCTTTGTTAGTGCATGGCTGGTGCTTTCTGTATCACTGTTTTAGCTCTTGGCGTGACCTCCCCACCGAGCTGGCCGGAGCACCTCCCCACCGAGCCGGCCGAAGCACCTCCCCACCACCTCCCCACCGAGCCGGCC